TCCTTGATGTGAAATGGTGCGGCCTTTTGTGGAACCCACCCGTCCCTAAGTAGTCATAGTTATAATTATAGCTTTGTGATGTGGGGGTCTGAAGAAAGCAGGCTGAAATCTACATCGCCCACAGATAATAAATTGGTCGCTTTTAAGGACAAGCGGGCTAACCCAGATTTCGGCGGTTTCCAGAAATCTTGCCTTACATCAAAGGTAGGCATTGCCCTACCTATAGAAGAAGTTTGGTTCCGTTAGTGTTTATATTTGTATGGTTATAGAGACAACTCTCCTTGTCTTTTTAAAAAACCTGAACAAAAAACAAAAATTTTACCTTCGATTTTTCTCAAAACAGCGTTTTTCGGGATAGCCCTCTCGTGCTTAAAAGCAGTTATAACATCGTATTTGACTTTGCACAACATATTATCATATATATCTAAATGTCAAAATACAGTATAAGCAAAAAAGTCGTGAACGCCGGCTAAATTAAACATTGGTACTGACAGTCGACTGTCGCCAGCAGACAAGCAAGAGAACGTGGGAAGAAAAAGCGTTCAAAAATAAAAGTATGCTATGTTATAAATTCTATAAATTAAGCAACAGTTGCTCTGATATTATCAACATAAAAATTGAAGTCACTCGTTGGCTGAGTATAATAGTTCTGTAACAACTGCTTTAGTGATAAGAGAAGCATCATACACCTTGAACTAGACCGGATAACTATGAGCACGTCTTTTTTTCTTTTTAAAAATGAAGTGGAAATGGTTAAATGGTATAGGTTTGATACACTTCTTTTTTTTTTATCCATCTTTAAGCCGTTCTAGGCTGCTAGCTAAGCAAAGGTGTTCTTGCCACTGTTTTTGAAATGGGTACATCATTTCCTTTTGTAAAAAAAAAAAAAAAAAAAAAGAATATGTAAATGAATGTATTCTTCAAATGGTGAATTAAAAGATAATGCTCTTATTGCTCGTAGGCTGTACTACAAAGTACTACAACCCCTACTTTTGAAACAGAAGTACCGTCCTTTATGAACCTCGTAAGATAACTGTCATAAAAAAAGACATTTTTCTTTTGATTTTTGTTGGTTTTGTTTGTTGTTTGGTTGGTTTGTTAGTTGGGTTTTCTTTTGTTCTGGTTTGTTGCTGGGTTCTTTTTTGTTTTGGGGGGG